GGCAGTTGAAAGTTTGTCCGAGTTTTTCTGGAGAATTGTAATGAAATAACCTATTTTAACATATTTTCTGATAAATCTATCCGAATTTTCTTGATTTTTTCTAGCGTTTGCCCGAATTTCCATGGTTATCCATAGTTTGCCCCCCTCCCCCCGCCCCCTGTCTCGTACGCCTATGTCAATAAGGCATTTCCAACATGAACATAATACGAAGCCATAGTGAAAGTGTGTAAGTGAACGAAATTAACTTTAAAGAAAGCGTGCTAATTCTCGTATTTTACTCGTATGTACTCGTATTTTACTCGTATGTACTCGTATGTACTCGTATTTACCCGTATGTTACTCGTGTGTACTTGTATGTTACTCGTGTGTTATTCCTATGTACTTGTATGTTACTCGTATGTACTCGTATGTACTTGTGTGTTACTCGTATGTTACTCGTATGTACTCGTGTGGTGTTTTAGTCACGATCGAATTTGTAGTCGTGCATGTTTGAAGCCGTTTAATTAATAAACTCGCAGGTCGTGTTTTATTAGGTCTAAATCAATCAATCAATAAAACTTTATTTACCCACGGTACTATTTCACAAAGACAAAAACTAAAATATTTACAAGATGTGATCTTCCAATAGGCCGTGCTATATATGTATGAATAATTACATGCAATTATAAAAATATTTTATTAAGTTAATACAATAAAATCGAAGAGAAAAGAAAAAAGATAAATTGATTATCAAGAATTATTACGTCTATTTGACACTAGAGCCCTTTTGAAGGTTGACAATGAACCCATATTTTTTATATTAGGTAATAAATCATTCCAAGCTACAGCTCCTCTGTACGAGAATGATTTTTTACAAAAGTTGGTACTTGGCCTCGGGAGTGCAAAGTTAAATTCAGCCTGCCTAGTTTGATGATTATGAAGTGTACTGGTTTTCGTGAATAAATCAATTAGGTAATCAGGCACCATATTATTATTTACCTGATACATAGTAGTACATAATTGATTATTTCTTCTGAGACTTAAATGAGGTAAATCTAATTCTTTAAGTATATCGACTGATCTAAATTCATACCCACGCTTTGTAATGATACGTGCTGCTCTATTTTGTAAACGTTGCAACTGGTTTTGAAGGGTAATTCCAAGACAACCCCGTACTTGCGAGCAGTAATCAAAGTGTGGTTGAATTAAAGTTTTGTAAACTGTTACTAGAGTCCTTACATCAACAAAATCTCTTAATCGTCTAAGGACGTAAAGACCCTTGTTCACTTTCTTTGTAATTAGATCTGTTTGAGAATGCCAGTTTAAGGTCTCATCTACCATCATACCCAGTGATTTAGTAACGGTTACTCGTTGAATAGGCGTATCTCCAATTTTTATTTGCAATTCGGAGTTACACTGTTTAAGTTTTTGATGTGATCCAATAAACATAATTATATTCAGTTTTGCTTTTGTTCAGGCTCAGCTTGTTGGCCGCCATCCAAACTGAAATATTTGCTAGGTCATCATTTAACGTTTCAAAAATTACTTTGACATCCTTATTTGCCGTTCCTAATTGAGTATCATCAGCAAACATGTCACAATCCGCACTTTTTAAGCAATTTGGCAAGTCATTTATGTAAACAAGAAAGAGTAAGGGTCCAAGAATTGAGCCCTGCGGAATACCAGTAATTATTGTTCGTGGTTCAGACAGTTTGCCATTAACTTGACAATACTGGGTACGATTAGACAGATAGGATCTAAACCAGTCATGCGCCCTTCCTCTCACTCCATACAAATATATTTTTTTTAATAAAATACCATGGTCAACGGTATCAAATGCTTTATTTAGATCTAAAAAGACAACTCCATTGATTAACCCTTCATCCATATTTTGATACCAATGGTTTGTCATTTTTAACAATGTAGTAACAGTGGAGTGGAGAGGTCTAAAGCCATGTTATGCATTAGTTAGTATGTTTGCCCGTTGTAAATAGGAATAGACCTGGTTATGTACGAGTTTCTCCATTGCTTTGGCAATTACCGAAATAATAGATATAGGTCGATAATTATCCATATTAGATTTAGGGCCACTTTTGTAAATTGGGGTGACTCTTGCATTTTTCCACTCACATGGAAATATGCCGGTGAATATAGACCTATTAAATATTGTTGTCAGCGATTTAGCAATGTAAGGTGAGGCCAGTTTAATAAGTTTTGCTGGTAATCCATCTAGGCCCGATGCCTTAGTAGATGATAATGATGATAATAACTGGCAAACTTCCTGTTCAGTTATTTCACAGAAAATAAATTCCTGCATTGATTCACTGATGTAACTCTCTGGTGGAATAGAGCAACTTGAGATGTTTTGGGAAAGAATGAAACCAAGATCAGTGAAATGATTATTAAATGCATTAGGTATGCCTGGAATATTAACCATTTCACCATTCTCGTTACGGATCTCAGTTATATTTTGAGATTTTTTGATTTATGAATCAAGTTATTAATAGTTTTCCACATGTTCTTAGTATTTCCTTGATTATCCCTAATCTCAACACTATAATGATGGCGAATGGACGACTTAATTAATTTGTTATAAAAATTTCTAGCTGATTTGAAGATTTGCCAGTCATTTTCATTTTTAGATTTCAAGGCCTTTTTCTTTAATAAGTTCTTATTTCGCTTACTATGAAGTACTTGTTTCGTAATCCAAGGGGTACGCTTCTTACCAATTTTACGGGTTTTAAGTGGTGCATGTTTATCAATAATTTCAGTAAATTTATTTTTCCAAATATACCACATTCGGTTGGAATCCGTATTTGAATCCAAATTATTGTTTTCGGACGATGCTATATCGCGTAGGAAATTATCTTCATTGAAATTTTTGAAATCACGGAACTCTAAAATATGTTCCTCTCCTTTTAACGATGGGAATGACAAAATGCCATATATTAAATAATGGTCACTAATCATTATTTTGGAGACTCCTGCTAATATAATATTTTCCTTTTTATTGGTATAGAAATGGTCAATTAAAGATACCGAATTCTTAGTTCCCTTGTAGGTTCGTCTATCAATTGTTTGTATTGATATAAATTAGTAATGAAATTGAGCTCTTTCGTCATATGATCTAGATTTTTGTGTAATAGGTCACAATTTATATCACCCAGGATAATGCTCTCTTTCTCTTCCGTATCAATAAGCCGTAGAATGTTTTCGAATTTAGTTAGCAAGTCAATGGGTGAATTAGGTGGTCTGTACCACGTTGAAACTAGAAAAGGTTTGGTTTTATATTTATGAATTTCTATCGTAAGAGCTTCAATATCATGATGACCCAAGTCAGGTCTTATCAAAAAGTTAATTGTATTTTGTATGTAGAAACTAACACCCCCACCAGATCTATTCCTATTCTTAAAAACCCAGGTATAGCCCTCCAGGGAAATTAAATCTAGGGGCACATCAGAATCCATTTTAGTTTCATTGATTGCTAAAATATCTAGTTGTTGTTTAGTCATGCATACTCGTAATTCGTCTATATGTTTTAAAAGGCTATTAATATTGAGATTAGCAATTTTGAAGCCACGCTCATTAGGAATTAGATTATCAAGTAAACCAAAATCATATTCGGAGTTTGGCTGTATATGAGGCGAATTTAACGTTGTATCTGAGTTTGGCGTAGGGTTCTCAATCAGTCAATTTGTCTCAGATGTCCTGATACAGTGTTTAAAGTTTTGGGCAAGTACAGCAGTACCTCTCCTATTTAGGTGCAACCCTCCTTGATTTAAGTGACTCTTATTAATATTCGAGTGTTTAACAAATTCCCATGATTGTAGATAACATGTCGATTCGACTAATGAATTTACTTTTTGTACTTTTTGTACCTTCGAATTTACTTTTTGTACCTTCGACTCCTGGTCGTTTATTAAACAGTACATAAATTACACCGCAAATAATATTTGCACTTTTTTTTGAATGATTACAATCCAAAGTGCCCGAAAGGCTTCATTAAGTACATTTAACTATTATTTTATATTTTAGTGCATCATTAACGTAGATTTCCAACTCTACCGGCAGCCAGTGGCGTTGGCACAAACCCAGAATCATAACCTGGCAACGAAGGATTAAAATCAAAATTTTCGCCTTTAATTCTAGTTTCTGATATTCCACTCACACTGAAATTATAAATGAGTTCATTCAAAAGCTTTGTTTGCAAATTTTCCTGATTTTCCTCAAGACTTCTAACATTGTTGTGAAATATTGAAAGTTGCATATTTAATCCCGACGGTTTTTAACTTTATCCTTAAGAATACTGAAAATATACGAGGAGAATAATAATTACAACGAACAGATTGAGAAAAAGGCTCCATGGCAAAATTTTAGTCTGGAGCTCCTGGACCAGTATTTAGATCTAAATCATGAATAGTTAATTAAACGTTTGAGATTATTTTTAGAGGGTAAAGAGTCTGTCAAGTTTGAATTGACCAGACTATTAAATTGAGCAGAATTAACACCATGAAATGGTAATTCCAGGGAGTTACTATTATATTTGCATTTATAGTATTAGCATGCACAGCTATTATTAGGTAATGATAACATTTTACTTAACTGACTATGGTATTTTCCAGTTTCTTTGAGATATTATGTTTAACTGGTTCCAATAGCTATCTTTGTCAAATCGCCACACGTTGGTGTATTCTGATTGGATTTGAGTTTTCAGTCCGTTTCGTATAGATAAATAGCTCCGTGTTTTGTCCAACAAAATCTGAAATTATTGTCATCTTTAAATTTTTTGGCTTCTGCTAATAAGTTTGGCAAACGTGGGGTTAAGTGGTCATATATTCCCGCATGCGACAAGTTGTCTTCAGGATGTAAACCAAGACGGCTTGGGTCCACTTTCGTGATATCCCTGCTCGCCGCCATAACTTGCTGTCGAGCAAGACGCCGTGTAAACTTGCAAATAATCGGCTTTGGCTGATTATCATTCGTTTCCTTGTAGGCACCATACATATCTTATATAAACTAGATAGCGCATCTCTTTTAATAAAATTGAAGCTAAGAATATTCCAGCGGTTACCCCCATTTGAATAGATGGTGACCATGTTGGTGTTTCCCACTCGCTAATAAACGCTTAATTAGAAAACAACAATAACTTTCATCATTTGAATAGTTTGAAAAATTAATGTATTTGGAATAGGTTTAACTTAATGTTTAAGTTCCCTGTTTAAGAAATAGAAAACATACGAGTCTTCCCATTCCTGGGAATATCCTGAGTCTGCAATCACGGCTTCAATTTGTGAATTGCAGAATAATTAGATGCACTATCTAGTGTATATAAGATTTCTATGGTAAGCACACGGTGAGTAACGTCGATACCTTGAATCGATAATGCAACGCCCATTTAATCTCAAAGTCATTAATAATTCCTGAGTAATTTTTTTCTCCTATATACTGCTTTGTTAATATTTACAAATATTTTCTAATAATATTGGGCTAGAGACCTACTAGAAACCCTAACAGGCGTTTTAATTTAGGCCCCTAGTTATAGTTTATTGTTATCTATTAATAATTAATATATTTACAGTATAATCAGAAAACCAATAATCTTAGAGTGTATTATTTACAAAAGGAAGAAAAGAACTATATCACGCAAAATAATTACAGTACAAATATACGTCATATATAAAGTCATATTGACACTAGTATTTATCACTATATAATATGTAAACCATATTGCTTTATTTTGCTCACTGGATACCTGGTGTACATTTTGAAAGCCGTGGAGGGTTTTGATATCAGGAGGGAAGAGCGGGGCTGAATGAATATATAATGATTATTTTTGATCCAGTCCAAGGACTGGATCAAAATTAATTCGGTCCAAGGACTGGATCAAAATTAATACAGTCCTATAGGACTTGATCAAAGTTAATTGATTGAGTGTATATTAAAGTTGTCTGACATATACTACATGAAAATTAAAATTAAACAACTAGTGTATTGCAATCGATAACAACAAATCAAATATTCTAATATTAATAGTACAATAGTCAATATGGCATTTAGTGACGTCAAATAGAGTAGTACAGTGCAAACACACAAGTTAAACATGCGCCTTCTCGCCTATTGATTTCCATGCACGCAACAATTATTGCACCCACAATTAATGCATGTTAAATTTAACTTCCAGAGAGTATACACTTTATCTTTCGTTTTCAAGTCTTCAGTGTAGTTACAATGATATTAAACCACTTTGTATTGGTTAATTGTCACATTGCAGTTCCCAGTATTTAGAATTGGACTACATACGTTCGGTAATTCGGTAATTTGCTCCATTTGCCTCTCGCTCAAGCCACCCAATATTTAAAGAATCAAATTCATTGAAATTTAACAGAGATTCTTCTGAGTCATTTCTCACACTCCTGAAGGCACTAATAGGCTACCTTTTAATTCGCCATGTTCACAATTATAATTTACACTCGTAATACCCTGTTCTGACTGACCAGGTGGATTTAAACTTTTCGCTCCTGGTCTTTGCAGCTCTTTTCATATCCAAAAAGTGCATCACTTACATGATCACTTCGATTCCTTATATGTTTTTCTTCTACACTAGCATTGAAAAGCTTCGATACACATGTCACACAAAGGCTCTGACTTGTCTTTCTCGTTGACCCTAATGCAGCGCAGAGACTTGGAAGAATATTGTTTAAGGAATGAATCCCAACCACGCAATTTTTATATTCAAATCTTTTCGGCTCCTCAAAAGCTTGAAAATAGAATCCATTTGCGTTAACGTTTAGCCGAAGCTTGTTAACTATTTTTTTATTAATTTAAAAATTCGCCCTATTTACATAATTAAGATAGAATATACAGTATAACGTCTGTTGAATACTAGAGCTAGGAGCCTTTAAGAAACTTTAAGAAGCTTTTAGTGCAAGGCCCCTATTCCAGCAAATATTAAATTCAAGCGATAGCTATATGTCAGTTAATATATAGTACATAAAATTTTAAAGAAAGTTGTGATATAGTTTTACAATGATATAGATATACAACAAATATGAAGTTAGGAGTGCATGATGATGGAAACATTGTTTTAGACGTCAATGAATAATATAAAGCTGCATTATTATTATTCTTGTATTTGATAATAAATTTTAGCTTGTGTTTTGAACGATTGGTAAAATTTAATGGATTTTAAATCTTCGTTCAAATTATTCCAAATATCTACTCTTTTATTGGAGAGAGTATGTTTCGTGTAATTAGTTCGGGTGTAGGTTTTATGCAGTTTTTTGGAACTTCTAGTATTGTGGCGATGAATTTCATTTTTAGTTTTGAAAAAATTGTTGAAAATTTCGGGCATATTGTTCATGTTGTAGAATAGAAACATAAATAAACTGGTCAAATAATCATTTATTTTGTAAAAATTTTAATAGATTTAATTTTTAAATAATGGTTCCGTGTGCTCAGAATATAGTTTGAAAGTGATTAGACGCACAATCTTCTTTTGGACACTCATCAATTTTTGCAATTTTGAAGGGTACGTGTTACCCCAAGCTAAATTAGCATAAGTGAGATAAGGATAGACAAGGGCATAGTAAAGCAATTTTAATGTAGTTTGTATAATGCCGAATTTTAGAAATAATTCCGGTTGATTTAAATATTTTTTTTTAAAACTGAACCAAGGTGATTATTCCATGTGAGTGTTTCATCATTCAGAACACCCAAGAATTTTGTACATTTCACTTGTTCGATCGACTGGTCATTTATCTTAATATCAATTTCAGTTGCTTTTTATTGCGTGCTCTGAAAAAGATCAATTTAGTTTTAGTTGTATTTATAGAGAGTTTATTTGTATTTAACCATTTAAGTATTTCATTCATCTCTATTTGCATTGTTTCTTTTGCTATATTAATGCTGGAATTGGAATAGAATGCGTTTGTATCATCTGCAAACAGGACAAATGAAACATCATCACTGCAGTTTTGTATGTCATTTATGTATAATAAAAAAAGTAATGTCCCAAGAACAGATCCTTGGAGAACACCAGTTCTAATTTTCATTTCTTTAGAATTTTCCTGCTTGAATTTCAAAATCTTCTTTCTATTCATTAAATAGTTTTTGAACCACGTTAAAGCAAGCCCTGTTACTCCATAATGCTCCATCTTTTTTAATAAAATATCATGATCGACGGTATCAAAAGCTTTTGGTAGGTCAAGAAAAATTCCTATTGTATATTTACTTTAATCAATTGCTTTGGTAATTTTGCTAACAAGATTTACAATTGCTATTTCTGTTGATTTATCACGCCTAAAACCATATTGGTTTTCTGTTAGTATTTTGTTTTCCTCAATAAAACTAATTAGTCTTTTGTACATAAGTTTCTCTAATAGCTTAGAGAAACGCGTCAGGACGGAAATATGTCTGTAATTTTCAAATATTTGTTGATCATCCGCTTTAAAAATAGGTGTTACCTGGGCCAACTTTAACTGCTCAGGGATAAAACCTGTTGCGAAACTCAGGTTGAATATATGGATAAGTGGTTGACTAATGTCTGTTGCGACAGTTTTAATGATTTTTGCATTGATTTCGTCATACTCAGGGCTTTTATTGTCTTTCATTTTAAGTACTTCACTTATCATTTCGTTTTCAGTTATTGTATTTAGAAATATCCTGTCATGAAGTTTCCCGTAAAATATTTTTGAATTAAAGTCTCCAAAGTTCCATTTATTTTGCTGGCCAATTGTGGTCCCATATTTATAAAATATTCATTAAATTTATCAGCGATTTTTGAAGGCTTTGTTATTGATTCGCCAGAGTATTTGCAATGAATTTGTTAGGTAATTCTTTAGTTTTTACATTTTTCTTTAATAGTGTATTGATGGTCTTCCATGTCATTTTAGTATCGTTTTTATATTTTATGAATAATTCTTCATAGTGTAGTTTTTGGCAATTTTAATTACATGTTTCGACTTATTTTTAAATCTTTTATAATTTTTTTTTCGTTCAGTACGATTTTTTAGAAATTTCTTATAAAGTGAGTTTTTAGTTTGTACAGATTTACAGATGGACATTGTCATCCACGGACTTTTAACTGTATCAATTTTTCTCTGATTAATTTTCTTAAGTATAAAACTAGCGTCATAATTTTCCCATGATATAGATTTAATCCTATCCACAAATTTTAATTGGTTTGCTCTATTTATCATTCTCCTATATTTTATGTTAGTGTTTTTTCTATTTTTGGTATTTTCTTTGTTTACTCCACATATATGAAATATAGGTAAATGATCTGAGATGTCACTAAAAATTAAATTCATTTTGACTGTAATTAATTTTCTATAGGTCATTCGAAAATATATTATCAATTAGAGTCGCAGTGTGTTGAGTAATTCCTGTAGGCATTGTAATTAAGGGAAAATAGAACGATGTAAAAAGATATTGTGTAAGTCTATTTGCAAAATCACACGTTTCATTTTTTAGCATATCAACGTTAATGTCACCCATGAGATAGCATGTTTATTCTCTTTGTCAATTTTGAACAATGTTTCATTCAGTGTTCTTTCAAACTCATCAAATTTACTTTTCGGTGGTCTATAAATCACCCCAACAATAATTTGTTTACTAACTTTTGTGGGCATTTCAATAAAGACAGACTTAATTATGTCCTCTACAGTGGCATTCAGATCATTCCTAGTTTTATATTTAAGATGCGGAAATATAAATACCCACTCGACCACCTTTTTTAAGTTTTCTGTTTACATTCATAAAATCATAGCTTTTTAATGAGACATTAGCTTGATTATCATCATGAAGCCATGATCTCAGTTAATCCAATAACTGAAAAATTAGTATTGAAAGATCCGAGCATGTGATTGAACAAGTCAAATTTATTTGATATGCTTCTTATGTTTAAGTGAATTAATTTTAAATTATCCTCAATATTTTTTCCAGCAAATCTTTCTGTAAATTCGTTTGGTAGGAAATAGTTGCAGTCAATGTTTTCATTATCTACCAAGTCGCCAAAGTTCGACTCATTTCTTTTTAATAGACTTGCAGCGTCTGCGAGTCTTAAGTCGGTAAACGGATTAAATTTCAGTCCTTCTAGTCTATCCCTTTCTCTTTCACTTATATGTCTGTTGTTTTTAACAGTAAACTCATAGTCTTCATCATTTAGTGATTGGAACGGCAACAATTTATTTAAACATACATGACGTATTTAAATTTCCTTTGCATCACAGGCAAAGTGTGTTTTGGCGCAATTCTGAGACGCATCCATGGAGCCATTTTTGACATGTGGTACATTTGAGACATCTACTGTGCGCTTCAAATGACTTACAGCAACAACGGCATTTCTTTATATTATTTCTTGAGCTAGCCCTGAATAAAGTTGTACATTTTAATCACATTTCTGTTGACGCATAAACTCAAGGTGTATTAATTGAGTGAACAAAAATTGCACTTTGCGTGACCTGCATGTTGCGTGACCACTAAATACGTTGATAATCAAAAAACAGCATGTTGCGCAAACTGCTCTTAGTGTATATGAGTACTGAAATTCATGTTTGTGAAATAGCATTTCTAAAATAGTTAAAATATTCATAGAGAAAGGAAAGTTATAATGAGGCCTACAAATAAATGTTCTACAGTTAAGAGTTAATAGGACGATATAGATGCCTATCAATGTACAGTTTGTCGCAAGCCAATCTTACATGCTTACCCGCTTGTCTCGCTTCCTTCATGATGGGGTACAATTTCTTTCTCTCTCGCTCGATTTCTTCGGGAAATTGATCTTGAACACCAATTCTTGTGCCCCTTAATTTTTTCGTGTTTCTCAAAACATCTTCTTTGTCCTGAATATAATTTAATTTCACGACAATTGGTCGTGGCTTGTTGGTGGTCTACTGTCACTGTTGACCACTTTGCGTATTTCGGCGCTTTGGGCCCAATCGGTGGGATCTATCAATCTTTACCTTGTTGCGCGCATTGGGAATCTCCAGTTTATCTTCCAATAACGCCAGAATGATCTCCGTCGTGTCTTCTTTTTCCTCTCCTGTGGGTTCATCAATGTTGAAGAACAACAGATTATCACGCATCGATCTAGATAGCTCAAAGTAGCGGTTATAAATCTTAATTAAACAACGCTCATGACTATCATTTTCACTATTGTGACAAAAGTGCTTAACGATTCTATGGGTTTTTTTTTCATATCGGCTATATCCCCGTGAAACGTTTTAGAAGTATTTTCTCGGTAAACTATCGCTGTATTATTTTCTATTGTAATATCCTCAAGCCGTAAGTGGCGATGCTCTTGAGAGCGCATACCAAATAGTTTTCCTCTTCATCTGTCACAGCTTTCTTCTCAGCTTTTGTATTCGTTACCCCAGTGGCATGAACGTCTTTCATTTCGGCATCAACAATCCGTCTCAATCCGCCAAAGCTGGAAGCAAAAATGAGAACTATAATTTATATATTACTTAAACCAACAAATATAAATAAAACATGGAATATACAATTAAATATTTCATAATTATATGGATGCTATTACAGTTTAGTTTACTTACCCCATGTTAGATTTGTCAAACATATTAAAGATGATATCCTGTCGAATCTGCGCATGCGCGCTAAATAATGTAAATTGCATGAAGTATCTAAGTCATTATGAAGAATTTAAATATGGCGTCGCGTGCAGAAGCAAAGGTGGATTATGAAAAGAGTGTTCTTTTTTCTTCTGCTAAAATAACCCGAATTTGAACTATATATCATGCCAAGGGAACAAGTAAAAGTCTCAAGAGTTGTAAGAGTTGTAAGGACTGTGATTCTTAGCAGTTTATTGCGCGAAGAATTCGATTTTACTTTACTAAAATATGGAGACTGTATGCCATGGCAAATATGTGTTCTGAAGTACGAAATTACTGCTGGAAATTGTCTTAAATGAGTGGTGTTAATTCTATGAGGATTGAAGACATAAGTTTGGAATACTTTCTACAAGCAACAGTTTTATATAGGAATTATATTGCAAAGGACTTGTATAAAAATGTAAACACTATATTATAAAAACACTGGATAGTCATAATGTCAGTATGGTGAATAATTCTCACAGATAATCGAAAATTCTCAGTGGTTATGTCTTGTTTTAGAAGTCATCGTCTCCCTGTAATGCTTCCAGTAATTGATGTACTGCTTCAACCATACGCGCTAATACCAGACTGGTGTATTTATATACACCAACAAAATGTTTATTTAACGAAAATAAAACATTTCAGTGTTGATATACAGTTATATCAACACGAAAACTTACCGTAATTCCGTATTCAGGCCCTGGCGTATTTTTTTAAGCATCATTGGGAGGGGGGGGGGGGATTATTCTAAATATATACAACAAGTCTGTTTACCTATCCAAAATGTGCATATTCAGGGTTACAGTTGCACTATAATTTAGGGTGGGATGCTAAATACAGAAATTATGCCGTAATATTTTTTCGTTTATAAACTTTAATTTATTTAGGTATTTGTCCCACAAGCCTACATTAGCACCCCCCTCGCATTAGACTAAAATATTACTCTGCTCAGACTTTGTAATGATACATACTGTAATATACTTTACTTTACTTTAAATGAGCTTTATTAGCATGACCCCAAAAAATTTACAGGTATTGCTAAAGCATTTTTTACAATAACAGTTAAGGATATATAAAAAAATAAAGTTTTATCTATTTACAATTTTTGAATTATATATAGGCTAGTGTATTGAAGATATATCACCGTTATCACTGTTCGTGATATTGTAGTGTTTCAAGACTTTCTGGCTTCAATGCATTCATTTCGTCTTATGAAACAACTATGAATGAATTTTGAAAATTCATTCTGTAGTATAGAATCACTAGATGACATGAAGAATAAAACATCATCATGGCATTCTAGGTTCAACGCAAAATTTCTTTGTATTTTTTCAATAAAAATATTTCTAATTTGAGCATTATTTTTACATGAAAGGACGAAATGGTATGCATCTTCAATTTCACCAGATTCACAAAATTCGCAAATTCTTTCCTCACGAGTAATGTTTTGATAGCGACCACATTCAATGCGTAGTTTATGGCAGCTTATACGAAATTTGCTAAGTGTTGTTCGTTGCGGTTGGTTTTTTATTGCTATGAGGTAATCTTCTAATTTGTATACGTTTTAAACGTGCTGTAGAAAGATAGCTTGGATGAGTTATTTAATATATAACAAAGTTGTAACAAGCTGTGGGAGATTGGAGCATTGATTTATCCAAACAGCTTCAATACCAACCATTGTTTCTTGACAGAATACTACAATCAATTTTTAGATTGTGCTATTCCAGTAAAAAGGGTTTTACTGTTTTACAACACCCTGATGAATTCCTATCTGAAAACAGAACCCATGAAGAATTCACCTAAACAGTGTTCAGCCCTAAAGAATTTAGTCTTTTTAGTTTTAACACTTCATCCCAGGCTGTGCCTGTAAAAAAAAAACATTTTGCCTATGCACATGTAAAAAAATTTAAATTAAACTCATTGTCATTGTTATAAGTAACCAATCTCATCCCCTTAAACAACATAGTAAAGTATTTAGTAAGTAACAATCATTCAAATGATTGTTAGGGACCATTCATTTTTTTATGACGGTGGATGGCTGAAACAAATAGTGCGGGGGGTATACAAAAAAGTTGACAAATAAGAGGGAAATGCAATTTCTGACAATCTGGAGACTCCAAATTTCAAAATTTCTCAGATCTCACTATGGAAGTTTAATTAACATGAAGCCTCGTCTCAAAAGCAGCTTTACTTTTTTTTTATAAAAGAACTATATCGAGCCTTTAGCCAACAATTTGCCATCTTTTTATTAATCCATTGAGCTGCAATGCGCCGCACTTACTTTTTTACTTGTCTAACGCCAGACTATTTTACTCAATGGGGAAGCTCTGCAGCTTAATGGGTTAAAAAACAAGTTTCCCTAAGGGGAGGGGGCAGAAACATCTGAAAAACGCCTTTCGAGAGCAGGCCATTGGAAAATATAGGTATAAATGAATTGGTGACACCAAAGTTTCAGGAGGGTTTACTAAATTGCACCAGACTTCTCCCCCCCCCCCTCCAATGCAAAAATAAACAGTTTCTTATATTCTTATATATAAAACATATTTGTTTGTGATCAGCTGCAATGTTGACCAAAATCTCCTGATTGTAGCAAACATGCAAGCCTATAAAAGTCAGACTAAATTCAATTCTTTTCAAGCCAGGAGCGGCAGGAGGGTATACTAAATTGCACAGAACTCCACCCCAACCCCCACCCCCACCCCCCAAAAAAGCAAAAATAAGCAGTCTAATATATAACACATACATTTCCTTGATCAATGCTCCAGCTATTGCTGTCTCTTCGACAGCTTTGAAAACATCTGATATACAAATACTACATTGCTGACCTTTACATATAGGGAAACCACAATAACATTTAGGACTATATATATATATATATATATATATATATATATATATATATATATATATATATATATATATATATATATATATATATATATATATATGTATTTCCTTGATCAATGCTCCAGCTATTGCTGTCTCTTCGACAGCTTTAAAAACATCTGATATACAAATACTACATTGCTGACCTTTACATATAGGGAAACCACAATAACAGAAGGTTTCCAGCTCTATTTCTCTAGGTATGTAGTGGTGTTTGTGTGTTGTGTACAAAACACGGCCAGGCTCATTCATGCGGATCCACACATTACACATGTAGTCATGACGTAAGACCATAGACCACCTTGTTGATTTTGTGGAGTGTTTGGCAAATTCAGAAAGTTTTACATGTTTTGCTTCTCGGCCTTGCATACTATTGATACCCAATCCCATGCCGTATCTATCAAATAATATTCATGGCCAGAAATTCGCGACATTGAGCCAATATTTTGTCAGCGGTAAATCGTCAGAAAATTCAAAATGGCGTCGAAGCGTTTGTCAACACGAGTAGACTACGTGCAACTAGACAATTTTAGTTCTGTTGTTTTATACAATAATACTGCGCCACGAAGGAAAAAGGGCAAGATCTACGAAGTAGAAAGGATAATCAGCAGAAAAAAACAGAAACGCGTAAGTATTGTGGCGAATTTGGTTGAAATTTCAACTGCCAATTTCTGTTTTATAGAAAACTAGTGTTGGGCTGACAATATGGCATTTATTAACTATTGTGACTAACATTTTCTTTTATTATTTTATTAGGACTATCAGTGGCGTAGCCAAGGGGGGGCGAGGGGGGGGCGATCGCCCCCCCCCAATCGCTTCTAAGACCATTCTCGCGAAAAGTCTAAATCCGTATAGCAGTTGGGGGGGGGGGTACGTTTAACAAAATCCAAACTCACAATATAATTATGCCGTTGAGGTATGGAAATTATAGCTACCCAAGTTTGGGTAAAAATATCGAGTGCGCAAATCTGATATAATCATTTATGTCTTGGGAGCGCTGAGCTGGTATTTATATGCTTATATACAAGGTGTTAAAACACGCAAACCATTGAATTGGCAAAGCTGCGCAAAAGCAATTACTATAACTGTCAAAACAATTTACTTAAGCTAACATACTCAAAAGTACTTAACAGATTAAATCTGGGCGAGTCTACTTCCTTAGTATTATCCAATCATGTCATCGCGAAAACTGAATAGTAAATTATAATATGCGCGGAATTTTCTTGCGTGACTAGCGCAGACTATTGTATACATGAAAAATGGCAGAAGCTTCTGTTCCTCAAGATCTTTCGTCTTATGAGTACGAACCTTCCTGTCCTTTGCCCAGTGGAAGAGAAGCCAGGGACCACGTTATAAGCAAAGGACCTTGCCAGCCAAGAGATATAAATTTTCCTTTGGATAACCGGAATCGTAAGTTTCTAGTATCGTGGTATGAGAAATTTCCTTGGTTAGAGTATTCTGTCTCGTTGGATAAAGCTTTTTGTTTCGTCTGCAGAGTGTTCAACGCACAGGTGAGTTAATTGTGTGATTTGCGCTTTAATTATTTTCCTAAGTTAGTCCTAACCTTGTTAAGTTGTTTACACTTAATGCGTACCGTTTAATTTGCAATTATACATGGACCATGGCCCTGGTAGTGTTTAATTATATATCAAAATGCGATGTGTAATACTCAATACTGTTGTTTTAAATAATTACTAATTATCGCAAAAGTATGAAAAGTTCCACAAACAAACTATAATTCATCCTCTCTGTATCGTCAAATAGTTGATATGTATTATAAAAATACAAGAAACGCTTCTTATATTATGACAACGTAAAACAATGACATTTGTCTTCTTTGCATGCAGACGTCGTCAAGGAGTGAACCTACCTTCATCAAAACTGGTTTTAGTAACTGGAAAAAGAGCGAAGTCTTCGCAAAGCACGAGAAGTCAGATTGCCACAAGCATTCACTTCAAGCTCATCGTCACTGGAAATCCCAGAAGCCAATACATCATCAAATAGACGAAGAAAATGAGAGACAAGAGTCATATCGTCAACAAAATGTACGTATTGCCATTTGCCAAATATATATAACTTTGACAGGCCATCTGTGCACAACATTACAGACGAAGTAAGCGTGTGAAAACGCCAGTTTTGCATAAAAATGTCGGTGATATGGTGGTAATCCTGGTAATACGTTTATTCCTAAGAAACAATTGAGTGACGCGTATAAAGTTAACACAGTTAGGATTTTTTAAAAATTGTATCCTTTTATTTTCAGGTAAAAAAGAACCGAACTGTAATTGGTAAGATCATTGATGTTGTTCGACTTCTTGGAAAACTGAATTTACCATTTAGGGGACACCGCGAGGATAAGAATTCTTTAAACAAAGGGGTGTTTAAAGAATTTCTTGAACATATAGCAAAGTCTGATTCTCTTATTGAAGATCATTTACGAAATTCTGCAGGTAACTATATCATTCACTGGTTCAGTAACGTTAAGGTTACTACGAATTTTCGGTGGAATATAGGGATATATGAAACTGCATGATAATAGAATGGAATAAGGAATAATAAAGATAAACTGAAGTCGTAATTATGATAATTCTGTAATTATTTCTTTTTATCGATTTCAGAAAACGCTAAATACACTAGCCCTGAGATCCAAAATCAGTTGATCAAGGTGGTTGGTTCAGCTATATTAGACGAAATCATACGTCGTGTCAAAGGAGCCGAGATGTATGCAATCATTGCAGATGAGACACCAGATCTTAGTAAAACGGAACAGTTAGCTGTACTTGTTCGCTATGTCTGGAATGGAGTGATAGAAGAACGTCTTTTAGCTGTAGAACCTATGGAAGAAACCACAGCTGAAGCGCTTTCCATACCATCCGAGAGAAATTACAACAGTGTGGGATAGAATTTTCAAACATGCGTGGACAATGTTATGATGGTGCAAGTAACGTGTCTGGAATCCATACCGGACTGCAAGCACGCATCAAAGAGATTTCCCCGTCAGCAATTTACACACATTGCTATGCTCATGTTTTAAATCTGGTCATCGTGGACACAATGAGTAACAATAGTATAGCAAGAGATTTCTTTGGAACGTTGCAAAATCTATACGTGTTCATCGAAACTTGCACAAAACGACATGCTGTGTACTTGAAACACCAGAGAAAGTTGAATGCGTCAGATGATGAAGGAAAAAAGAAGCGTGAGTACGTTCTGAAGAAATTGTCTGATACAAGATGGGCATGTCGGGCGGACAGCATCACCGCAATTTACCACACACTCGAAGCTGTCATCGCGACTCTAAAAGAGATCAGAGAAAATGAAAAGAAGGCTCACATTGCAGCAGAAGCAAAGGGGTTGTTTCAGAACGTCTGTGATTTTGAATTTGTTTTGGCTTTGGAGGTACTGTTTTGATGACAAACGTACCGTGATTTATATTTCATTCATTTTTATTTTTAATGAAAATTTAATGATGTGAGTTGATCATTTTTATTAAGGTGCTGAAGAAAGTCCTGCTACTCAGTAAGGGAGTGTCAGATAAGCTGCAGTCAGAGGACTTGGATGTCGTCACCGGCTGCGAAAGAGTTGCTGATCTGCTAAGCACAGTACAGGCTCTACGATGCGAGCCCAAATTTGAGGAATTTTGGGAAACTACTGTTACAAAATGTCGCAGCTTGAATATCGAAGAACCAAGACAAGAGCGTACCCACAAACTTCCTAGGAGGATCGACGATAATCCTGACACAGCAGTCCATCTTACGTCGAAAGACAAGTTTAGAATTTCCTTTTACTATAATGTAGGTTATATGAATAATGAATTGTTCTGGAAACATGCATTCCAATCGCTTATAAAAATATTTACAGCTATGTATTTTTCGAAATCTAGGTACTTGATCTTATGGTTAGCTCCATTGAAAGTCGATTTGACAAGAATAACGCACCAGTTTTGATGGGTCTCGGATACTTAAATCCTTCTCGAATAGGCAATCCAGAAGCTTGGAAACATATTTCTGTCGCGGCCCAATGGTTCCAATGCGATCTTGATGTTGATGAAGTAGAGAGCGAAATATTTTCCCTACAAACATCGTCGCTGCTTCCTAACATCCTCGAGAAGGCAAAATTAGAGAAGAGAAAAGCCAGTTTCGACGACCTGTTCAAAGCATTGCAAGCTGAACCCGAATGCTATGGAAATTTAACAAAGCTGATGAAAATTGCTTTGACACTGCCCCTCACATCAACAAGTGCCGAAAGGACATTTTCGAAGCTAAAGTTGATAAAGTCTCGACTTAGGACAACCATGCAGCAGGAAAGACTGAATAGTCTGATGCTGATGTCCATCGAAGACGACTTGTTGGAGCAACTTGATGTGGACAATCTTGTCCAATTGTTCGTAGACATGGCCCCAAGAAGAATGGGTTTAGTTTAGATTTTTAAATTAAACATTTACTCTCAACTATTGCTCTATTCTTTCAAATATTTAAATTTACACTTTATCAGACTCTGAGTCCCCATTTCTTTTAAAAAGCATTGTAGAAACGAATAGTGTCTCACTGTCGAATAAAAGAACTTCGCATTATTTGAACTCAAAATGTCCAACTAATGTTTGTTTAAGCCTTTTTACACACTTCTCTAGGGATAAAGGGGTCATAAAGTGAAAAGAATAACCCAACTTCAGTTCTGCAGTATAGATGGCTTTGACAATTTATTACATTTGGGAGAAAAGAAGATTTGTACATTTGTGAAATCAAGGAAAATCATGTCTTTTATGCAATATATAATCCTCAGAATGCCAACTTTATTCTGCAAAATCTCACCCGGAAAATGCAGGAAATCGCATTTGCGGGTGTCTAGATTTCAAAATTTTCCGAGGTGGCATGCCCCCGGACCCCCCTAGAATGGCTCACGCCTTCGGCGTTTGGATCTCGCCCCCCCCCAAAACTTTGACTCTGGCTACGCCACTGAGGACTATCTATATCTTATTAAATGGGCTGGGTGGCCTTTACACACATGTACTTGGGAGCCTTCTGATCATTTGCCAGGCAATTTAATACGGTAAGGAATAAAGGCATTTAAGGCAACACTCTTTATAATACTGTATTACTGTATAATACTAAAACATTATTCTGTTTCTTTACACTAGCTTCTCTCATGCATAATAGCAAATTTAAAATTATGCTTATATTATGTTTCTAGTGGGTATGAAAGACCACCAAAGCCTTCTGACAGTCGATTAGAGAGCACTGCCAGAGCATTTGCATGTGGCATTCTGTCAATGTTAATGTCAAGATCATTGGCAAAGGGCTACATTGAGCTTGAGCATGATTGCTGGCGTTATGTCACTTCGGGAAAGGGGAGACCATCCGAGCATAAAGGCCATCATTTATTA